TTTTTTTTTTTATAAAAAAAATAAATAAAAAATTGTCAATTTTAACGTTTTATTTAGATTAAAAAAATAAATCGTAATAAAAATAATCCTATTTATGATGATTAGACCTACGAAAGACTGATTTAAGACATTTTAATACCAATTAAAGCCTTAGTTTTATTTTGAAGAATTCAATACCTTTTAAGACTTTTTAAGGACCCTGTTTATGATTCGTGCATCATTTTATATTTGGGCCAATAATTTACATCCGGATTTTATATGAAACCGTCACCATGGTGTTCAGTGTCTCCTCCTAGCTGCTCTTCTGAATAATCATCATCTGGATTCATACGGAGTCTAAATCACCAACAGGAGAGTTTTATTTACTCAGCAGCTTCTGACAGTAACTGTTTGGGTTGGATTTAGTTTAAACCAGATGCAAAAAAAAGAAAAAGTGCTGAACACAAAGTTTTATTCATGAAAATAAAAATAAGAGAAATAAATTCCCTGTGCCACTTTATGCTCGTTTTGTCTCCCCCAAACATCCACTTGGGTGTGTGGTTGTAATTTCCCAAATATAAACCCTTTAGGAGGGTATTGTTACTGCTGCCCAGAAATGGAGCCATTTCTCCTGTTCCTGCTTCAATGTCTGCAGTCTGTGAGAGGATGTAAACATGTGTTCGTCATAGTCTATTTTTCTTTGTGGCATTTATGAACGGTCCGCTGCTGCATGTCAGACACACCAGGTGGTCCAACACAACTCTGCTTCTCTTCCCTGATCCAATGTGAGGCACAGCACAGGTACCTCTGCTCCTGAGTGTTCATCCGTGTTGAACTGAAGGGGGGAGTGTCAGGCTATGTACCCAATCTACCCGGTGACGTCTGTTTCCACTCACTGGCTATCATGTTCCTCTAGGGTGAATACAGAATGCTGGATTTAATCAGATCTTTTTACACCAGAAGGCGTCAGCAGTGACGGAGGCGGGACGGCTGGGTACTGCTGGGTCACCATGGAGATGACTCGGACCAGCAGAGGATGATTAACAATGATCAACCTGTGTGTGACGGAGAGGAAAATGTGGGGACCTACCGTCTGGAACCTGCACCTCTCTGTAGCGAATCAGCTGGCTCGGGAGGAGGGGCTTTGTGTGAGCGTGCTCAATGAGTGTGTCCTCAACCATTTGCACCATTCCCAGCGCAGACTAGAAAAAAGGCACAGATAGAAAAGACATTTTCTGATATTTTGTTGCTGGAAATGTTCCAAGCATCTTTATTTAATCCAACTTTCAATCAGTGACTTTTATATAGATATACACTACCGTTCAAATGCTTGGGGTCACATTGAAATGTCCTTATTTTTGAAGGAAAAGCACTGTATTTTTC